AAAAAGACCATAGATAAAACAGTTACTTTCCTTAGTAACTAATGATGGCTAATACAAAAAGCCTTCTATAGTGTCGAAGAATTTTTGCTTCCATGATTGTTTTATGTACACAATTTTTATTCATTCATTTTTAACATATGTAAAGTTTTTAATTTTTTTTTTAAATTATGACTTGTAATTCGATTACCAATAAAATATTTGTATTTGTACTTGTATTTGTAGTAAAAATTATTTATTACTAACGTTGCTCGCGACTTCGTCCACGCAATATTAAGACTATATCAGCTACCCTTCAGTGAAAGTGCGGTCGAAATCGGCTCAGCCGCTTCGCAGGTTATCCGGAACAAATGCGGCTTGCTGATAGACAAACAGACATACAGATAAACAAAAAAAATGTGATTTTCGTTATCAGGAACGCCAATACTTCATCTTCCCGAAATCTGGAATTTTTCTTTTGATATTAAATACACTCTAATTTTATCATATGTATAGAAGATAAATAGCAGTTTCAACACCTATACATTATATTATCCGAATTAAATAAAGTATGTCCACAACATACATTGCGGTTTTAATTAAAGTTTGCGGTATTTAGCGTAAAAGCAATCGCGCGAATTATAGGAAAAGTTTGCTGCCGTAACAATTTATTAATTTATTCAATGTTATTACTACATATAAGATAACACCTGATAATTCGATAGTTGATAAATCATTTCTCTTTGTCACGTGTCGCTTATTAGGATTTAGCGAGATAAGAATTTATATCAGCTGGGCGTAACTTTAATATTTAATTGCGGATATTGATTAGCTCGGGCTCGGACCTTCCTTTTTTAAAACATGAAGTCATCACAATTATTAATAAGCCTACTAATTGCCACAAATGTCCATCAGTATGGCCATAAATGGTGTTACTATTAAGTTTTTGTGTTTAGTTATGTATCGCGTACACTTTTACGTAATAGTACATTATATTGAAAAAAAAACTATTTAAAATGAGGCGGTTTGTAAGATGACGTTGCGTCGTGCTTTGTCAAAGGGGAGGACGGTACCACACACGCCGATTGCTAATAAATCACCCTAATGTTTGCTTACGACTGTCGCCTGAAAATACAACTAGTGCATTCGGAGATCGGCACGTTTGCCCCACAGTTTGTCTCAGCATTTTATTGTTTCTACAATCTGTGGAACATTGTGACGAATGTCATAACATGAATCTTTAAATTTAAACAAAACCCAAACTTAGCGGATGTTAGTCGCCAAATTCATGTTATAATATTAGGCTCCCTAAACAGTCATAATAATGTTTTAGAACATGGTTTGTAAAAAAAGCAATCTTTAATTTCCATTGAATTAAGCACACCGAGTATTATCTATATATATACTTCTATACTAATATTATATATTATGCCTTAGATAGCGCTTATCTCCCAGTTTGCTCCGACTTCCGGTACCTCGGCTCATTAATCCAAAGCGACGGCTACATTGACCGTGACGTGACAAATAGAATAAAAGCGGGATGGTTGAAATGGCGACAGGTCACAGGAGTAATATGCGACCCTCAAATTCCACTTAAATTAAAGGGGAAAATTTACAAGGCCGTCGTAAGACCTGTCATGATGTATGGATCTGAATGTTGGGCAGTAAAAGGGACGGATGAAAGAAGACTACATGTGACAGAAATGCGAATGTTAAGATGGATGTGTGGGGTAACACGAATGGATAAGATACGAAATGAGTATATTAGAGGAAGTTTGAGAGTAGCCCCCATAGTAGAGAAGGTTAGGAGTAAAAGGTTAGCATGGTATGGGCATGTTATGAGGAGGGATGAATCGCATGTTACAAGGAGAACGTTAGTTATGAGTGTGGAAGGGTACATCGGTAGAGGTAGACCTAGAAAGAGATGGATGGATTGTGTAAAAGGTGACATGATCAAAAAGGGAGTGATGACTGAGATGACGTATGATAGAGTTATGTGGAGGACAAAAACCTGTTGCGCCGACCCTACGGGAGTAGGATAAGGAGATGATGATGATGATGATGACTAATATTATAAAGAGGAAAGATTTGTATTTTTATATGTATTGAAATAATTCATAACCACTGGGACGATTTCAAAAATTCTTTCACCATTAAGAAGCTATGTTATCCGTGAGTAAAATTGGCTAGTAACATGTTTTTGATTTTTTTATAATTTCACGCGGGTGAAGTCGCGAGCAGTAGCTAGTAATTTATATTTTCGGTCGCAAGCCATCTGTGTCCGACTAACTCCTTAATGACCGTGACTCAATACCGTCGAATGATTTATGTTCATTGTTCACTCAATATCAACGATTTATTTGGGAATCCATAATGGAGAGAGACTGAATGTGTAATTATTTAAATCGAATTAATCAGTCATTATTTACACTTGAGTAGGAAGTAATTTAACATGGGCATTGGACTCTGATTTTACGACTCTATGAATCACAGAGTATTCATTAGAACGGAGCTAAAGTAACTGGACCACGCATCTCATGAACTCATGACTCATCTATCTGTCTCTTTCTGACTTTTAGACTGTTTATATACACGCAGTTGGGTATTAGTGATGATTAATTTTTATGTAATAGGAAAACATTAAAAATATTATTTTTGAGGAAAATAAGATCAGGTAAATTGTATGTTCAAATGGTGACGAAAATACCAAATCAGATGATTGCACTAATATAGGAAATAAATTACAAATGGACTTTGACCAGACTTTTAAACTGATTAGTAACATAACAATGAAACATGAAAAACTTTATCAATATAAAACATTAGCGGTTTCTCGCGACTTCATAGACGTGAAATTAAAATATAATAAAAAAACATGACCTATGCTACTCACTGATAACGTAGCTTTTTATTGGTGAAAGAATTTTTGAAATAAGCCTAGTAGTTTTTGAGTTACTTAAATACATACAGAAATCCAAAAATCCAAATCTTTCGTCTTTACAACACCAGTATAGATATAGATAAAATTTCGAAATACAAATTCTAACAGAAGTTCAATAGAAAATGAGTATAGTAAATATTAAAAACATCGTCTGAGTGTTAACTAGGGAGTTATATTTAAAGCGGTAACAAAACGTTTGCAGGAGAGCGCACTCCAGTTGTTTTTAACTAAATGAGTGTATCGGTTAAAAATAACCGTTTAACTGGATCGCTAACTACAGAGAGCTTCGATACGGTTTATTTCAAGAGAATATGTAGCTCATAATCAGGTCGTAGTTTGTTGGGAAACGAGTCGATACTTTAAAATGCAATGACTCAAGTGAAATAAAATAATATAAAGGGATTGTGAAGTAATCAATTTAATTATTTATAAGTACAATTCAATTTTTAAGAGAAAAATGTAGTTACTTTTTCATGCCAATGAATAAATTCATAAATATTGTACTTCTGGGTACTACTAAAAGGACTCGCGGTTTATTTATGTGAATTAAGAGAAATTAAAATTAAACATAAAAATCGTGATAATTCATTTAAATCTGCATTACACTTTTAACAGTTACACATAACCTTTTTAATTATTTTCTCGCGTTCTTAAGAGTTGCCAGCTCACTTTTATGTAACCTGTTGACATTATAAAAATATTTCAAGCTCAGTTCTTGTAATTACAAATATAGTTATTAGAAAAAAATGCTTTACAACACCGCTTCATTAAATTTACGTTAATTCCGGTTTATTTAAATTTTGTTTTATTATTTTTTTAATATCTAACGCCATTGCTAGCCGTTAAGACCGGACATAGACTTGGCACTTGATATATAACAATTTTTTTTCTTACACATATGAGTACAATATATGTAAATTCTACCAACATGTCAAAGTCACACACACTCGCTGCCGAGTTCCATTTTAGTAATACAATTCTAAAAACGTTTTTCAATCTTCAAACAAATCATTGTCGTAACATTTGTGAGTCGTTTGAACGACGACCAAATGCCACTTAATTACGTAAAGCGTAACGAAACTGTCGTTCGATGTTTTTGTTTGCTTTGGCACGAGCCCGAGACTCGAAGGGCGATCAAATTTTTCCAACATCCGTCCCTAAGATAGCGTCCTCTCTCCGCTCTTATCGAATACTTTATAACTAACGGTTGGTTGCTATTTAAAAAAATGTATCGATGGCCAGTACGCTGCCAGAATAATGCGTTTAAATAAAAAATTACTGGCCATTTTTCTAATGAAGTAATTCAAATGACCTGACACTTGTATGGACATTATTGCCATCTCTCTTTTTAAAGAGAAGTTTTGGCAGCTTTGTCCCAATTTACATCTTATGTTACTAAATACTACTACTTACTTATATGATAAATGCGAAAGTTTAGATGGATGGATGTATGTTTGTTAGCTTGTACCCTAAATGGCTGAACGGATCTGGATGAAATTTGTATAGGTCTAGAACATATTCTACAAAAATACATAGACTACTTACTTTTTTCTTTTTTTCCTCGCGGACTGAATCGTGAGCAAAAGCTAGTATTGTATACATTCATAAGTGTCAATACAATGATACAATTATTGTTATTTGCTTTCCATTGATAATTTCATATAATTGAATCGGCCTAGGGTTCTGTGCGGTCTTCAATGAAATTATAGTTTGTATACCTACATTGTATTAACCAATTTTCTCCTTATTGTTTAATTATATAAGTCGAAATAAACTACGTCCGTCTCAAAACTTCTCGCAGTCCCAGTAAAGAAGTAAGTATCATTTAACATTGAACAAATATTCTGGTTTTGTTTGATTTGTGATATGGCTTGCGTTTACGTTCACGAAATTTTAAGGGCGTTCATCTTTCTGTGGGCTATCAGCAACTTTGTATACAATCGTTATCATATCAGAGTCACACAAGGCTGGTTCGACGCCTGTGAACGTTCGGAGCGCCCCTGCTGCGCTCCCGTCCCCCGCCGGCCCTCCCCGCTCCGCACCATTCCCCGCTTGAAGCCCCTTTTATTGCAGTCTCCATTTAGCCGCCGATGTGTATGGATGTATTTCGCTCGTTCCATAAGCTTTTCGAGTTCGAGCTTTTTATAACCAATTTGTATTGAAGTGTTATCCTCGTTCGGTGCGCTGCATTGTCCCGCGAATACAATAAATAGGTGTTTGTGGTCAGTGTTTCCGAATTATTTTTCGGCTGTGTCTATTGTTCGACGGTTAAACGTTAACGGTTTTTAAGTGTGCATATCATCGTGGTTCTTTTTCTAAACTTTCGTGGTCGTGTTTATATTTCAACATCGGATATTTCAATGGAATGAGTCAAACTGTTTAGGATCTAAATAAATAACAGGTAAGTCGGTTTGAGATTGAAAATTTATTGTTGTCAATTTGTAGTTAGTTGTTACCTTAGTCATTTATTAGTATTTTTTTTAATAAATAAACGTAAATTTTAATTAAATTGAGCTTGTTAGTGGCGTCTGTGATGACATAAATATTTAATTATCCCACGAATCTACGGCGAAGGGCTGTCGTTTGGGTGTGGGGAAATAATACTGACGGGCGTATTCAACTCCGGGCGAGGGGTTGCCTAGCCTACACGGTGCATTTACGATCACAATGGAGACATTTTCATGAGAATATTTTGAACAATTTCTCATGTATATTTTAATAATAAATACTCATCAACGTTACATTTAAATTACACAAATTAAAACGACTGTTGTATTTTGTTTAACCATTACTATTTATAAATGAAATTTTAAAAACAATAAAATGTATTTCCAATACTTTGCAATGTTCAATGCTTTGCAAATTGCTACTCGTGTACCTACCACAATATCTTTAAACATTAAAAAAAAACCTCGAAGAATATGATTCCGGACACGAAATGTGTTATTACGTAAGACATAACTTTCGTAAAAAAAAAAACAACCTTCTACTCTTAACTAAAAACACTTATTTTAATAATCGCATAAAACATTTTTTTGCCTCAACACCGAAGAACCAAATTATCTGCTGAAAACATATTTGAACTTGTATTGACTAAAAATTAAATACAATAAAATATACAAATACCTATGTATTTACAATTAAATATCTCTGTAATCCTGGTACATATGGGAGATAATATGTAACTTAGGTACTTCACACAATGACCCTTATTATCACCGGAAACAATACTTGCAAAAGGCCAGTGCAATGCCTTTGTGCCAGTACAAACTATATTTAAACATTTTAATTTTAAAAATAAAAAATGGACATAGATTTTTTTTTTTCGTCCATTGATTACCTATCACTTGGAGACTAATGTCATATCTAGAGACTGAGTCTAATCCTGTTTTTTGAATAAACCGTTAATTTGATAAGTGGCAGCGAAAACTGTTATATAAAAATAGCTTTAAGAATTTTTAACTAAATAATAGAATGTCGTTATTTTACAGTTAACAAGTTATTTCTTGGTTCGTAACGGATACTCGTTAAACGATCTCAGTATGAGACGCTTTCCTTTAGGGGTGGGAACATCTGCGTTTTCTTACCATAGAGGGACTATGCTTGGATGTTTATGGAATGTTGGATCTACAACCGTTAAACAACTATCTATTTTTATGTATCTGTTAAAATAAATACTGGAATATAAAATACACTTTTCGACTGTAATTTTCGTACAATTGATTGCAGAATTATAAAATTTGACAATAACAAAACTATCTGTTTTTCGATATACTTTTATTGGCGTCAATTGTCTGATATTAATCATTACTTATCGTGTTAGATTAGAAACTACATGAATAATATGTGTTAGATGTAACGATATGTTATATCATACCGACGATGCATGCGTGTAATCTACGAAATATCTGCAAATTACATACTCGTATCAAAACTTTAAAGCTGTTTATATAAATTCCAAGAACAATAGTTCATTTATCAATATACGAGTAAGTAGATATTGAAGTAAGTCATTGTACTTAAGTCAACTATAGTATAAAACTGTAGTACAAATACCATCAAACGTTGAAAAAATCTATTAAGATAGCTTAAGCTAACTTAGACACAAAAAGATGGGTCATCTAACAATCGTTGAAAAACTAGAGGTTTGTTGACATTGTACGAAAGTAGAATTTCACACCTATAATGTTATTTCCGAGTAAAATCGACTGCAGAATAAAAGTGAATCGCTGTCGTTGAACTAAGCGGAACTCGTACTATAAGCAACAGCCATTGTTAGTGTGTGTGAATATTGTTCTGTGTTGCCATCGATAAAATCTTATATTCACTCTTATACTTTTAATTTTTTCCGAGTTACATAAAATCGTAATATCATCGAACGAGTGAAGTACAACAGATAAAAAAAAAGATATTATAGCCATCTTTAGTAAAAAAAAATAGCTTTCATGTTAATAATTCAAAATTACGAATAATATTGCAAGTAAAAAAATCCTCAATTTTAAGGAGACAAATCCGATTATACAAGCCATAAACAAAGGTTATTATGAGATTAACCCAGTAAACGCTTCATTTTTAACTGGTTTATTGTGCACATAGGTATCTAAACTACTTTTTTAATATAAAAAATGTAATTTGACATCGTCATCGCATCAAAATTTTAAGTTGAGGGCATTTAGTTACTTTATTAGACCCATTGTAGTGATTTTATATAATAAACATTAAGCCTATCGATTAATTATAATAATCCAATCCAAATCAAAATTCAGTATTAAATTAATGTCATTTAGCAAGATAAAGCAATAATTTTAAGATATCGGTTTTATCTTTTTTATATTCAAGCTATTCTTAGAAAATCGTCAATGAGTATTGGATTAGTGTGGACTAATCCTTTATTTTTTAATATCTTTTTTTTACGAAATCGAACGTGTTATAAACAGGTAAATAAAAGTTTACTAATGGGTGTAATCTATTAAGGAAAAGGATACCAAAAAACTGAAATGTATAATAAATGAAAATTGAGACAATTACAATGATTTCCATAGGTTGCTTAAATTGATGTTTTAATCACATTATTATTTTAAATACTTAAGTATTTTGTTACTGCACATTAATAAATATTAAAAAAAATTAACAGTTGTTTTGTAGTCTGTACTTAAAATTTACCCTTTCGGTTTCCTAGTACTATATGGTTGTCATAATAACAAAGAAATTAAAGTTTCAAGTTTAGAGAGTCATTTAGGCAACGAAGTGTGAAATAAGAGGAATCTTAATGAGTGGATTGTTAGAGAAAAGTAGAAACACTCTATGTACACTCGAAAGCGGCGAAATTAAATTGAAGTGAAGAAATTTGCGAAATTAGAACCAACGTTCAGGAAGTCATCTTGGTTAATGACGTTGAAAACATTGTTAAAAGACGTCAGAAGAGAGCGAAAGTGATAAAATTATGAATAATAAACATTTGTTTTTTGAATTGCAAATTACAGCTTTCTTATCTTGTCGCGTAACGATTAGAATAACTGGCTGAATATTTTTTTATCTTAAGATTTACTAGCAAATATCAATATTTGTCTCAGTAATTTTATTAAAAAAAAAACACTTTTTAAATTTAAAAAATAAAGAGAACAATGATGAGGAATTCCGTTGATTTAAAAAAAAAGTTAATTGCATTTATATGATATCTAACATTTCAGTAGAACAAATAAATTTTAATAAATGTTAAATAACAATTTGGTTAAACGTTTAGTCATATCTTTTGTGAATGTATTTGTTAATGAATCAGAGTTCTTTATACGGAGTTAATCAATTTATTATGATGGGGAGACAGTTCGATAGTAACATTATTAAAATAGACTGGTAACGTATCGGAACCAGCCAGCTGTGGGTCACTGTCCTTTACATTGACTCTCGCAGCCAATAAATACATTCCGTCTACAGACTATAAAAGATTATTAATATTTGTATACAAGTTTTATAATAATTTTTAACATTATTGATTTGTTATATTTACTTTGTATGATTTAAAAATCGCAGCAAAACTGCATATATTATTAGGTCCATTTAGTAACATATTATCTATAATATATTTTTATTAACCATTATAAAATATTAGTTATCACCCGCGACTCTGTCTGTGCGGAATTAAAAAAGAAACGATAACTAGTCTATGTGTTCTTCAAAACTATAAATCCGAACGAATTCTACTTTCATGCGAATTACAGCGGTATTCGTAGAGACTTTCTAGAGATACGTAGTAAGCATCAGACAATCCAAACTTTCGCCTTTATAATATATAATGTATTATTTATGAATTACTCGTATCATCCGCAGTATACTCTAACATGATTAACATATTTTATATATCCAATTAGGGCGTTGGCACAGAAACGTCACATTTTATTATATCATGTTTTATTCATATTACGCATTCCATCTCTTGTGTTCCTAATTACAGTAGAGGAATGAGCATTAAACAATCGTATCTGAGGCCGGTGACCTTAAGGTCTAAGGCACGTATGTTTGTCATTAATATTTATGGGATGCGTTTCCAGCTAGAGATTGCTTCACCGAAGCTCTATGAGCCACGTGTTAATTAACTGAAGTAACCATTGTTTCTTTACCAGAAAGCGATAAGTAGACATAAATTGCACTTACAGGGAATACTTGTTAACTAGGTAAGTGTTGGTGTGTTTGAAGAAGGCCAAATTAATGGCTTTTGAGAATTACTGAGTGTTTCCAGAAATAGAAAATCAGCGATTTAATAATACACTGCTAATATTAATTGGCAAATTAACAAATGGATTCTAAAAAGACGAAGTATTTGATAAGCATAAAGAGTGAGTTGTTGACGAGCGGACGCGGGTTGTCGGACTCGTCGCGAAACTAACGAGTTTTCCACGAATGCAACCGACCCTATAGTACGCTCACAGAATCGGTAATCTTGACACTAATAACGCATCAATGTCCCTCATATGCATACATTTACATTCCAACTGATTTCTCCGAATGTTTTCTCAAAGAAAATCAACGGTATTTCTATTAATAACAAGTCAATATCTAAATCATCAACACGATGACTCTCAAAACGTATTACGAGATGATGTTTACCTCTAGAGTTTCTCTCGTCTCGATTGTCATTTGATTCGTATATGATTTAGATTAATGTACTTGTAAATTGAGTAAATTTAAATATGCAATGTAATGATGAACACGGGTCACTGCTGTCTACAGTTAGAGTTGGATCGATAGTAAGTCAAGATAAACCGACATTTTGATCGCCCCTCGAGCGTCTGCGCTCAATTGAATGATTCTGACACACATTATGTTGTTAGTAAGGAGTGCCAATAGCTTTTTGTGCGTTGATTTTTTATAACAATTAGGGCGACGGCCTCGAATCAATCAATG